CGGTGTTTCACCGAATATTTTGAACTCTACGGATTTTTCAACCCTACTGATCAAACATGGGATGGTGAATTGTTAGCCATTAAATTCGTACGATTCCCAAAACATGTGTCCAATTGAAGTTTGTAGCCTGCCGGAATGGCAACATTCGCTTAGTATTTTTTAAATGTTATTAGGAATTTTACCTAATGTTTTATTAAATTTTTATTATCTTTGAAGTAGAAATACTCTCAAGTTAGTCAGAGTTCCGAAAAGTCGAAAATTTTGCCAGCTTTGCTCAAAAAAAATCATATTTTTGTTATTAAGAAATTCACTTAATTAAGTTCTGTTTCGTATTTGCACCACGCCCTAGTAATGGGCTTTCAGTTTCCTTTAGTACGGTAATAATATGAAACACAAGATTCTTCGACTTTCTTCGAGTGGTTTTCGGGCAAGAAACATCTGATCCTAGCTAACAGGTTTGATCTCGGAACTTTCTTAACTTAAAACTTAAAATACTCAGAGTTAATTAATTTTTCAACACGGTCATTTGCGGCTTCGCTTATACTTCCGAAAATCTGATTCCCGAAAATCCGTTTCCCGAAAATCCGATTCCCGAAAATAGAATTCCCGAAAAATCCGAATCCCGAAAAATCTGAATCCCGAAAATCTGAATCCCGAAAATCCGGTTCCCGAAAAATCTGAATCCCGAAAAATTCGTTTCCCGAAAATCTGTTTCCCGAAAAATCTGAATATGAAGAATCTGCGGTTTGTGAACTGAAACAAAACCCTGGTACAATTCAACGAGGCGGGGGGAGGGAGATTCAGGCGGGGGGCAATCTGCGTCTCAGCGCCCGCCCTGCTCTCTAGTCACCCTATAGGCCCACCTATAGGGTGCCTATAGGCCCACCTCCCCCCGGCCGAAATCCTCACCCCCCCCCCCGCCTATTTGAATTGTACCAGAACCCTTTCTAAAGTTCTTGGGCGACTTCCAAGACGGTGAATTCAATAAAGTTAATTTTTAACTTCGTTTTCTTCCAATTTGGCTTTTCAGAGCGCGGTCTTTCCAGGTTTGGATTCTGGGGCTCGGATTTTTCGGGATTCAGATTTTCGGGAATCGGATTTTCGAGAATCGGATTTTCGGAAAACGGATTTTTCGGGATTCAGATTTTTTCGGGAATCGGATTTTCGGGAATCAGATTTTCGGGATTCAGATTTTTCGGGATTCAGATTTTCGGGAATCAGATTTTCGGGAAACAGATTTTCGGGATTCTCATCGGAAATCCGTCATTTGCTAAATTTGTTGGTAATCTCCGATCTTTGTTTCGTGAAATGTGTTTTTGCGGTTTCGATGTAAGATTCGTACAGTTAGTAAATCTACAAAGTTTTTTTGGGTTTTAACAATTTTTGAAACATTCTTCGCAATTTTTTTTGTAATTTCCACGGTAATGCTAATCTGTTGTCATGTAGCGAGGGCCATTTTGGTTCTGCGGGGCCTTGTATTAAAAATGCTCGAAAAAGCTGTATGTGAATAACTTTTCAACATTTTTTCCAAATTTTTGCCCTGATCCTCTGTAATGTTAATCTGTTGTCATGCATCCAGGGCGATTGCTGTTGTGCAGGGGCCTTCCTTTTATTAAAATCGGTAAAAAGCCTCTATTTGAATAGTTTATTTTAAGAGTTTTTGAAACATTATTGTCTTTTTCCCTGTAATGCTATTCTGTTGCCAAGCAGCCAGGGGATTTTTTTCAGCATCCGCATTCTACATATTAAAAAAAAATTAAAAAAATTGTATCTAAATAATTTTTAAAACATTTTTTTACAAATTTTTGCCTTCCTTGTAATGCTAATCTGTTGGCACGCAGCCAGGGCGATTTTTGTTATGCGGGGGCTGCACGTGCCGGAACCGTGCCCGTCTTCCCCAACATTGCATCATGTTCAGCGCGCCGAAAAGGCGGGCAAGAGGAGCCTTTTTCGTCTGGGCCTCTCGAACCACCCTATCTGCCCGGTTTCTCTGGTCCCTCTCCCCGAGAGAGCATCGCCTCGTCACCCGCCTTCGAGTCGGTCATTTTTGCATCTGCTTTGGGTCGCATTTTCTTAGTTTGGAAAATTGATTCCTGGCTTTTGTTAAATTGTCTGCCTACCGTATTCTATTAGCATAAAACGATTCATTAAATTACTGTATTTTATCGAAAAAATACGCCCAAATAGATTTTATAGGTCTTACTGCAGCCTCTTAAAAATTTTTAATAATGCAAAAAATCAAACAATTGGTCAATTACGTTTCCAAGGTAGATTAAAAAGAGGGTTAAACTTCCGACACCAACTTTTTACAAAAACATATTTTTGAAAATGTTGAGAATTTCGTTTTGAATAACTCTATTTTAAACTCTAATTTTTAGTATTATATTCGTGCTTATCTCTGTTTAGCTATACTATTTATGCGTAATTCATCTTTATCTACTCGCTGTAAAAAGGGGTCCAAAACCATGTTTCAAGAAACTTTATAGCGGCTAAAAATGTGAGATGATATAATTGTACTGCCTACATGGTCTTTTCTTCTATTTCTCTAGACAATTTCTTGAAAGGGATAAGGAGGCGCAGTAGATCAGGGGTCATCTATAATTGGCAAGGTGCCAACCGGAATTGCTAGGAAAATGGGCAGAGAGTGGGGCGAGGCAGGAGCTAGCAGAGAAGATTTATACTAAATTTAGAACTGAAGCTCGTTTTATTCTAATTTTCTTGATCCCTTTAAGCCATATCTTAATTTCTCTAACAAAACAACATCTTTTGCTATTTTTTGAGCAAAGGTTTCAAAGATATATTTCATGCTTTGTTGCGACCAATAAATTTCTTTAGTTTAGTAATAGTTACTGCGGCAATTCGGAAATTTTTTTTGGAAACATTTATCTTAAATTTATTGCGGAAATTCCTCTTGCTTACTTTGACCTTTCCACGCGTCTAAAAATGATCGGATCGTTTCGTGATCGTCGATAGGAGCAAATCGGCTCGCCCGGCGCCGCAGCAGCTGATTTACAGCCCCCTCCGATTTGGTTCAGAGAGAGAGAGAGAGAGAGAGAGAGAGAGGGAGGGAGAGAGAGCGGGGCGTGTATATTTCCTTGACATATCAACCAATCAAATCGGTGAGGGGGAGCCATTTCCGTGCGCTTTGTCCTCCCTATTCTGCGCCCTTCCCCTTCGGCTACCGTACCCCCATCTCACTATTACACCTGCTGATTTGCTTGCTATGAAATCGATTGAAAATATTGATCAAATCATTACAGCTCCCTGTCACGATTCGAAAATGTTCTATTCATTTGCAACCAGATAGTTGAAATTTACTGGAACGCACTTTTTTATGGCTCGCTCTCACGCACTCTCACTCTCTCTCCCTCTCTTTCTCTCTCTTGCTTTTCCTCGTTCTCTCTCTCATCTCACTGGAGGTATTACTACCATTTGTAATGCGATATTTCAAATTTATTTTATGCGTTTTTAAGAGTCTTGATAACGGTCAATTATCCTTAAATGTGCAAATTGAGACTGAAAGCTTAACGAAACACATTTGCACTACCTAAAAGATTACACTACAAGACGCTTTTCGAATCTATAATGCTTGATCGATCCCGGCACCAGCTTTTTAATTTATGTAGCCTGGCGCTGAAACACATAGTTGATAATAAACGCGTTCTGCAGGGGAATCAGTCAAATTCATAGTGTTAATCCAGAGCAAACCTTGAAGAATAGACTGAAATTTCGACAGCATCAAAAGTCATGCGGTTGAAAATACAATTTTACTTTATTTTATTTTCATTCGTTTTGCGAGTAATCCAAAGTTCCAATGAAACCGATTCAATTTTTCCGTCTTGAGATGAAACATATAGCTGGTAACAAGCGCGGTCTGCATAAATCAATCAGATTCCCTATTCGCTCATTTTTAAGCGTTTCGCATTGAAACCTAAGTGTTTAATAGATTATTTACTGAAATCACTAGTGTTAATCAACAGAGAACCTGGAAGAATAGACCGGTATTGCGACACAATTTTCAAAACCTCAAAAATATGCGTTTTTTAAAATATATTTTAACGTTTAAGGACGATCGCCTATCGAGCAACATTAGTTCGGCAGTCTAAACTTCATAGTCGCTACTCGGCGAAACACATTTTCTGTACCCCGCCATCGCGTCAATTGCTCCGAAAAACCCGGGGCGTGATGATTTCATTTTTGCTGATAACGACTGACCATCTTGGCTTCACTTTTCCAGTTTACGTGCCTTCGATGCGTTTGTGGGATTTTTGGCACAAGTTGTTTCAAGTTTTTTTGGAATTAAATGACTAACTTTGATAATAAAATTATTTCAGGAAACTCGAACTTTGCTCACCAGCTCTCCAGCTCCCTGCTCCAAGGTAACAGCTTTTTTCGAAATAAAAGGGCACAATAAAAATGTTTCGTCTAAATTGTAGGGGCAGGGCAAATTACTTAAAACATTTTCGGAGAGGTTTAAATTCCATAATTCGAAGATCAAATCAATGTTTTGAAAATCACAAAGACGATTGGACGATTTGTGCGACATTATTTTTGTGTGGCATTTAGAAGGTTCCATGTAACGTTCATTAATTCGCATACTATAACAGTGATCGAAAATTTTTTTCTCCGGGTTTTATTCAAATGAAACTTTGCAATAAACATATAGGTTTAATCAAAATTTAATAAATTTTTTTGATAAACGTGGTGTTTAATAGAAATGGTTTTGAATCGAATCAATTCTCCCTTTTGATTTCCTTCTAGATGATTTAAAGGGGCTAGGAAGGCAGCAATAGCTACACTTGTCGGCTTAAAACAACGATATTTACCAATTTTAAAGGCTTGATTTCGGAAACTGAATGGTGGACCCATTAATTTTACTCGCCCCAAAAATTCTTTAGGATTTCGAAGAAACACTGATTTTGCAGCCTCCCTCCAGCCTCCGCTCGCTCCTTTCGTTGCTGTAAAGCTTCCGGAAAAACTCGCTAAAAACGTCGCGAAAAATGTCGTCACTACCCGTGGAATGTTGTGAATTGTACATGGATGAATCGATGGTGAGTTCGGGGTTTTCAGGGAGCGAAATTCAAGATTTTGTAGAATTTTTATACCTGATTGCAATCTAGTATTACATTAGCAAAAATTTTTACGTATTTGGATTTGTCGTAAAACATTGAATTTTGAGCAAAAAAGTCGATCCTAGAGATTCCACAATTCCTAATTACCAATGAAAAATGAAAATTAGATTTTTTTGAAATTTTACAAATTGAATATCAAATTATTCAACCAGAATTGTTCTGCTAAAAATTGGCAGGTGCTTAATTTGATTTGAAACATTTTTTCATAGATTAAGTCGTGAAGGAAAATAACAAAACCGATATTTCAGTATCTGGTAAAATTATAAAGGGGCCCGTTCTTTAAAATTAATAACATAGTAAATACATACTACTTAATATTTCGGTTTAATAGAGCTAAATATATTTATTTTATCTCTAGAATTTAAATATTTTCAGGCTCTGATCCCCCTAATTGGCGAAGACGTGTGCCTGGCCTCGGTTCAATCCGTCGAGTCGTGGGTTTGGCCGGAGACGACTGGCGAAACCTGTCCCATCACTACCCCCCCAAGTACGTTCAAAATTTATTTTAATTAACACAAAATTACTCATTTAAATCCTCCCGTAATTTATGGAATTTTAGTTATCAAAAAAAGCCAAACATATCATTTTACTAATAAAAGACAGAATTGATTACATTTTTATTTTTATTATTTTTATGACAGAATTTTTATTTGCCCAAATACAAAATCTGCGCGTTTAGAACCATGAGTTAAAGCCAAATTTTAAACCGAGTTACGGGTATCCCATTAAAAGCCCACCCTGCTACTTGCAATTATTTTCATGTATAGCTCCTGAAGTATGATTGTACCAAAAAAGTGCTAATTAGGTCAAAACCATGAAACACATCGACTTGGGCATCCAATATGTATTTTAGAATCCGTTATTTCAAGGTAAATTGTATTGCGAAAAATGCAAAAGTATTAAATAGCAGACTATTGATTTTTAGATTGATTATTAGCGTTTTAGATAGGGTGTATCAAAATTTAATTTAGCTCAACCTTAAAGAAATCGTACACACCTTACTAATCAGACTATCAGCAAAAAAATTTGCTTGGACATGTTTCAGGTATGAAACATGTTAAATCGAGCAAACAAAATTTATTTATATTCTCTCTCAATAATCCACCTTTCAGCAACCCGATCAGCAGTTTGATCGTCTCCGCGGCACCGTTTTGCAACGTCGGGCCAATTGCTCATCCTCCTCGACGTCCTCCTCCCTTTCTAAGTCATGCTCCAAGCGACTTCTTCGTCTCGACGCCGTCACCGCGCCTGCCGCCGCCGGTACGTATTTTTTTCAGGGGATAGGGAAATGATAACATTTTTGCTGTTCGCAGAAAGATGTTTCTGATTTTTTTAGTGTCCGCGACAAATTTTTATGCTGATAATGCCTTTCGGTGTATGCATCAAAAATACCTCGAAAATCGGTACACAATTCTCGTTTTTCAGCCACCTCATGCTCCATCGCTCCAGCCACCACCTGCCCTCCATGCTATCCGCAGTCCTACTTTGGAGCCTATCCAATTATGGTCAGTTTTTGCTAAGATGTTTCGAGTTCCAGGCATTGTCATACCATTTTTTTCGAATCTAATAAAACCGGTTTCGACTTCTGAAAACGTCTCTGCTAGCTTGCCATGGCTTTGAAGAAACTAATAGGCCAATTTTGACGCCAAAATCGTGGAAATTCCTAAAGATTATTTGCTAGTTTACCAAACGTTTTGCAGTATCGAAAGTTAGTTTCGAAATTGAAGGGTTGTAGGATCACCTTACACGGGCTAATTGGCTTCAGCAAAGTGTACTTATTGTTGGCGAATTACCCTGAAACATCCCTGGTAATCCGCGGAACGGAAGAGCTGTGTTTCATTGTTAAAATAATTAAAACAATAAAAAACCTGTGTAATGTTTTAACCCGAAAATTCTAAGCCCCGTAAGATTAAATGTTACGTGTCTATAAGGGTTTCAGCACGTGATAGGACGACATATTAGACGCCGAGTAGTTTTGTTGAACAAAATTTGTTCTTACCGAATCCGCCTCAAAAATCTCCGCTAGCCTGCCCCTTGTCCCTATTCAAACAACTTTCCAATTTTTGACGGCTTTCCTGCCAACTTGCCATTAAAAAGTTTTAGAAATTCCGTATGCATTCCCCAAAAATCATCGCTAGATCGCCCCGGGATTTTTCGAAAAACGGGAAAATTTTAATGTTTCGTATTTGTCCCGACAAAAGGGCCGCGTAGTATTATTAGTTCTGTCATAAATGCTCTACAGCCGACTTAATCCGAGAACAATTTTTATTAGAATTCCTGAAAACGCCTCAAATAATACCAGGCGTTTTGCACCGGCAAAACTTAATGTTTCGGAATTGAAAGATGATCGAACAGCTATATACAGGGTATTGCGAATACCGCAAAACGACGATTACAAAATTTTCCCAAAAAATCTCTGCTGGCTCCTGCAAAAAAAATTCCACCTAGATTCCTAAATCAATATTGCCTGCCTGCTCGCAGATTTTTCAAAATCCTGGAAAAAATTAGCGTTTTGGCTTTTGTCCGACTTACGTAGCGGGGAGGATCACTAATGTGCTGACGTCAGTGACTTCCTTTAATGGCTTGCTTCTTTTCTTTCGTGATTCAAGAGGCTTTTCGACATTCACAAAGCCTTTTTGCGATTTTGTATGACTAAAAAAAAATGTATATTTAGGTTCCAAATTTGTTCAAGAAATTCGAAGCAGAAATGACGGCCAACGAATAAAATTAAGTGTTTCGTAACATTAAGTCTATGGTCCAAGCCTAAAAGAAATTAATCCAGCTCATTTTAGTTAGCTCTCAAATCGCAATCATTCCCAAATCATCCCTGCTAGTCTGCCTATCGTGGAGCTATCGAGAACGGGCTTTTTTGATCATTTTTCCGAAAAAGCGTTGGCTAGCTTGCCCTAAACCCTTGGATTTAACTTTCAATATTTACTCAGTGTTCTCGCCTTAATTCCTAAAAATAGCTGCTAGCTTGCCAACTGCAACATTAAAACTAAGAAAATCTTATAAAAACTATGCTAATTTCCCTTCCATTTTCAGCAGGCCCACGGAGGCAACGGGTCCATTCATGGACCAATTGGTGGAGGAGTCTATTGAATGCTACAGGTACGTTTTTTGGGTTTTAAAATCGTTTATGGCACAGTTTCAAGCCTTAATTTATGAATTATGTCAGAAGTTATTTGGTAAAAGTTTCGCCACTACCCTTACACCGTTACAATCATTAGATTTGAAATCAAAATTTTAGGTGTCATACTGTTTCGTCGATTTAATTTTCAAATTTCTTGCTAATTGAATGTTGCAAAAGCTTTGCACGAACCTCAGGGGTTTTCCACAGCATACGTCTTGATAAGAAGGCGGATCTAACTAAATTAATAAAACTAAACCTAACTTATGAAACAGTCGAATGCATCAAATTTGGCTTTCGAAAACCTTTAAGACTTGTGTTTCAATTTCGGAGAGATTTTTGAGCCGGCAAAAAGGATAATAATTCACGGGCTGTTTTTACGTTGGTCGGAATTCTTCTATTTTTAACAGGAAACCCGGCAGATCTTGAATTTTATCCAATTCTGTCACCTTTAAACTAAATTCAATTTAGTTCTTGATTTGAATTGTGTTTATCTCTTTTATTTTAATTCAAAATTTTGAGAGTAATTCAAATAGAAAGAGATTTTGAAACAATTTGAATTCAAGATTTAGTAAATTGGCAACTTTTTGAAAACCGAAAATAGCTAGAAGCTAGCTATTAAAATTGAAAAATAAATGTTTCCAAAAATTTCACCAAGGGGCCCCGGATTTTAATGTCATTCCTTGGTTGGCTTGAGTTGAATAATTGTAATTAATCAAAATTTGAAGCCAAATAAAATTTGTTAAAGGGGCTACGAAATGCCAAAAATTGGGTGACAGCCCGAAAATCGGAGCCTTGTACGTGGGAGGCCTCTGCACACCTAGGGTCGCGGGAAGCGCGCAAATTTGAAATGGCCTGTTGTCACCTCGAAATCACGTTCTCGGCTGTTTCTGGGCCAAATTGGATGATTAAAACACCAAAACTATTCAAAATTGAGTGCGTATTTCAAAAATGGGCTCGGAATGTGCGAATTATATTGTTTTCACAAAGAAACCGGGCAAAAACAACAAAAATCGAAAGAGTGGGGGCTCTCTCGTCCCGCAGCGCCCGCTGGCAATTTGCCAGAAATCAAAGCGGCCTTCCCAGAAGGGCTTTGATTTGGCAGTTCGGAGCCCCTTTAAGAAAATTTCAAACTACCGTAACCTTCCCATTTCCAGCAACTATTGCCAAATCGACCAGCCCGCCCAACAACACTTCATCAACAACCCACAGTATTCGAGCTATTCTACCGTATCCCCGTCGGCATCTCTGTGCCAGTCTACCCCCTCTCCCTCTCTCGCCCTCTCTCCCCCACACCTCCAGGATCTCGACCTCACGCTGTTGGAGCAGGAGCTCGCCCCTTATCAATGGTACGCTAATTTGAATATATATCTTATCTTATTAAAGGACGGGTTTAATTTCGATGTTTCAAAAAGATATGAAACAAAAATTTTTTGTGCTGATAATGCATTGGTTTTGGGTTTTCATTTTTCATTAGCATCGATTCTTAAATAAATAGTGAAATGGTAGATAAATGTTTCGTAGTATTCCTAAGCGTAAATACTTCACAATTTATCTAATTCTGCCAAATTTCTTTCGACCAAAATGGCCAAACTTAATAAGATTAATTGTATGAAAAACATTACTGCGATAGTTATTTTTGCCTTTTCTGAACACATAGAAAAAAAATATGTTTTAAAGGTTTTTTGGTCACTTTAGTCAAGGATTTCATCAATGCGTTGCCGTACTCCGTTTTGATTTATTTATTTGTATTTATTTATTTTAATTGATATTTTATGGATTGTATTTTTTTGTATGGAAATCAAGTACCTTTAGCGATTAAGATGTTTCAAAAACGTTGTGGAACAAAATTGTTTTGAATATACAGGGTGTCCCAAAAAAAACGACCCATCTGGCATTTCGCCGGGTTACATCCTATCGGTCCCATGTTTGGACCAGAGGTGTATCAGACCCTAAATAACAACAATCCTGACTTACAGCCCCGTAGCTACAGTTGTTCTCGAGTTATAACGAAAATACTGTTTTTCCCGGAATTCTGAACAGATTTTTCGGCTATCTTTTTGGACTTTGCATCGATTTGCATCGACTTCCGGCTGCGAATCCCTAATTTCGCCGAAGAACTGGGGAGTTTTGCGTTGTAAAAATCGCTTAAATCGAAGCTTATTTAATTAATTTTACTCTGGAAAAATTTCTTATGGTAAAGAAGGCCTGCCGGATCATTTTCACTTAATGTTTAGGGGGTCTAATTCGACGAAAACCCTATGAAAAGTGGAAAATAAAGTTTTTTTTGCTATAACTCGAGAACTACTGTAGCTATGTGACTGTAAGTCAGGATTGTGGTTATCTAGGGTCTGATACACCTCTGGTCCAATTTTGGAACCGATTGTATGTAACACGGCGAAATGCCAGATGGGTCGTTTTGATCCTTGATTTATTTATTATAGTTTATTTGGTACATTTTATGCGCTAAATTCCATCTCTTTTGGATTTAACAGTACCAAACTGGGGGCTAGCTAGCAGCGATTTTTTAGGATATAGCCAGCTGGCAGACTAGCAGAGAAGCTTGAGGAAATATTTTTGCTTGTTTCGGAGTGAGTGTGAAGTGCGTATTACTTGTAAACAATTTTTGGAAATAAGTACAAATTGTGAAACACGTTTTTTTCAGTCCTCCCGCCTGCTCCGACTCGCCTGTCGAGCCGATCCCCTTCCTCGACGACCTCATCCTCTCCGTACGCGCCGAAATCGAGGCAACAAAAGAGGTAAATTTAGGTGTTGAAGGGTTCAACAAGGCAGAGGCCAGCATTTTTCCTTGGATTCGATAAGAATTTTGCTAGACACGCGACGCGCACACGAAAAAACCCATAGATGCGCCTTCTCTGTCCCTTTAAAATGACGATGAAAATCTGTAATTTATTTATTTTCATAAGACATTTAAGACACATTAATCCCCGGAATTTCCATCATAGGATGTAAAAGCCCGATACACATTTTTTTTTTCAGCTCGACCTCAGCCCCAGCCAAAGTGCCGTCCCGTCGCCGGCTGTCTCCCGAAAACGCAGCATCGATGAGGTGCGTTATTTGGTGGCTATAATTTACTAAAATAAAGTAAATTCGGTTCTAGTTTTTGTTTAATTTATCGCTAAATGAAATTAAATTAAAATAATGAAAAAGGTTTTGTTTCCAAATTCGCACGATTGTCAGGCATTAAAAAACGAATAAAGGGACAATAAAATTATCGCTTCTCAAAAAGGATTAGAATTGCACGTTTTCGTATACACAGTCACAGACTCGACAAACACAATGTTACATAGAAATTGTGCGGCGGAGGATCCGGGCTTGAAACATTTTTCTTCCAGATTTTTAGTTCCGTAATTTCTTAAACTGTTGAAATACTTATATTATTAAGCAGTTAAATACAAACTTGCTCATTGATAAACTTTTCTATTATATTCTTGTAGCCTACAATTTAATTTTTCAGGATTCGTCCTCTCAATCGGAGACGTCCGACGAAGACTTGCCCCGGCCAAAGCGTAAACCGATCAGGTGAGCGAATAAATTTTTAATCTGATGATTTTATTAAATTTCGTTAAATATATCCGAATTAATTACTAGGCAGAGAAATAGATTCCATAAATGCAAAATAAATCGGGATTAAAATAAACAAAGAATCTATGAGAAGAGTTATGGCAAGCACCTTCGTTGCGCGCATTAGCCGTAATTCGCGCACTAGTACCGAGGTTTTTCAAGAAACACTGTAAAACCAAAAAAATTAATTGGCATTAAAAATTTTTTATTTCTTTAATTAAGTTATAATCATGCCGTTAAATTGACTAGAGCAGTCGATAGGCCGTAGCATTTAAATATTTTGAATTTTCAGCTGCTTTCATTAACAAAATGTCAAAGAAAATCGATGTTGCGGCAATTAAGTGAATTCTATAGTTCTTGAGCGCAGTAATGGACGAAAGTTGCTGATTTCGTATTTGATTCCTAAATTAAAATAATTTTTACAGCCTTGCCTCGCTGACGCGCGAAGAGGCAGCAGCGCGGAAGCGCGAGCAGAACCGCATGGCTGCCCTCAGATATCGCGAAAAGCAGCGCAGGTCAAAGAAGGGCGAGATCCGCGAGGTTCGTTGAGGAAATTCAAATTTTTGGTGGGAGGCAATCGCCGGCATTACCTTTATTGCAATAAGCAAACAAATTACCGATCATATTTTTTGTTGAAACATTTTAACTTGTCATTTTTCCTGAAAATTTAACACAAAAAGTACTCCTCGAACTGTCTTTTAAAATTAATTGAATTGACATAAATTACATACTTCATAACATACTTTTACAAGTTATTTTGATGCAAAATTTGACATATCTTACTCGTGTTCATTATAACCACGTTCGTACCTCGGACCATTATCATATTGAACATACAGATCTGAGGGGGTAACGTAAAAAAGAAGAAAAATAGATGTTTAAAATTTAAATTATTCATGACGGAAGTTAACTTATTTTATTTTTATTTTTGGACTACTTTCTGCATTTTTTGGCCCTGAAGGACGACGTTCAGAAATTGGGCGTTTGGCTAGCGAACGCAACACTGAAATAGATGAAACATGCTTTCATAAATTTTCTGATGCAATTTTTGGCAGTTCTGAATCGTATTCAATATAACGCCGTTTGCAACTATAATCATCGATCATTGAAAATACAGATCCGACCGATACGTAAAAACTATGGAACATGAATTTGGAAAATTTATCGAGTTAAATGTCACAAAAGACCTAGTTTAGTGGAAAGACTTCAAAGTATGATGGTTTAATGCTTAATTTGGGTCCATCATATTTTAGTCCTGGTTCTTTTTTTCTTTTTCGGTTTACAAAAGAGAGAAAAATGTATATAATAAGTAGTGTAATATTTAAATAATTTAGTTCCCCCATTTTCCAGGTCGATCATTTGATCGCTCGCAACGAGTTCCTGGCCGCCGAGTCTATTCGTCTGGAGAAGGAGGTTCGTGCTCTCCGTGCGTCTCTCTACAGTCAATTCGGCATCCCTTTACCCCCATCTTCAACGTCATCTTAATTTATATAGCCTCAACGTTAATGGATATTACACCATCTATCAATTCCCAATACGCCGGGGAAAAGCAAAAAGTTTGCACCCGGGGGAATCGAACCCGGACCCCATTCCTCGGGGCCGAGAATTTTACCAATCCGCCACAGTGAAGGGCAGGGGAGGCGAAGGCGGAGATGAATTTATTTTTAAGAATTCCTTGAAAATCATACCTTAACAATGTCCTAAACATTTTTTATACTTGTTGTCTTCTCAGTTTTCTGATGTCGGCTGGTCGATTTGTGCGCATTTCAAATTGAGTGTGTGTTTTTGTATTTTTGTTTTACTTGGTTTTTCATGTTTTTGTAGTAAATTTGTGAACTTTTGATGTAGTAATTTTGTAGTAAAAATTGTAATTTTTATGTTTAATCCAGTACATGACAATTGCCGTTTTGTGTAGAATAAATTGAATGTTTCAAGGTATTTAGTAAACTCATCAAGCAGGTCAGATGTAATTTGTTTATTCGGTGAAATCGTTTGAAAAATACAGAGGAAAATCAAGTTTGTATGTAACTTTTTTTAGCTAGTATTATTTAGTTAGTATCCAATTTCTTTTCTAATAGAAACATAGAAAAGGAATTACAAATTTTTCTAACAGTTCCCAAACGTTAAAACTGCACGAATTTATACGAAAAAAATACAGAAAATGTCGTTTTTCGCCAAAAAAATAGCCGCTACCGGCCGAAATTCGAATCTAGTTTCTTTGGAATAATTTAAAGTAATTTTCACTCTTTTTGGTTAGTTTTTACAGGCTAGATCTAGCTTTTTATATTTAATTAGCTCTATTGAATCGCCTAACCTTTACCATCCTCCTTTCTTGTCATCTCACTAATTGCGCGAATCTACGTCTTTTTCCAACGCATCCAAGAAACATAGGTTTTTGTGAGCGGATTACTTCGATAACGGCCGCTTTTTTGAGAATCTTTTAAACAGCAAACGCTTTTGGGTCATTCATTTTTCACAAATTTATGACGTAAAACAAGCCCAACTTAATGCCATTGAAATTAGCATACCTATGCTCTTGCCGGAGCTGTGAACAATCAACTATAATAAAAAAGTTGTGGTGTCTGTCCGTCTGTCCGTCTGTCCGGTCCCGAATTCAACTCGAAGGGGAAAGGAGCTAGAGCTTAGGTCTCTTCGGATTCGGATAGAGCATGGTCAGAAACCCCCAAACTGATAAAAAAAATTATGAAAAATTTTTAGTTTAAATTATTAAAATTAACTTTGAAAGTTTTTCCTTAGTAAAGGGGTGGGGGACCTAGGTTGGGGTGATTTTGGACATAGTGAGCCAGGTGACGCGCGTTTCGTGGATGAAAATTTTCACGGGGGATTTCATTTCTTTTTTTTCTCTGATCCCATCCGGTCGGTCGTTATTTCCGTTTTTTAAAAGGATTTCGGCTAGGGGAGGTATTTAAAACCATCAAGAAGGTATTTATATGGAGTTTTTGAAGGGGAGTTCGGCTAGGGGAGGTATCTTAAGCCACCGGGAAGGTATTTAGGTAGTTTTTGAAGGGGATTTCGGCCATGGGGGGCGATCTGAAGCGGTTAGCGTGGGTATTGATGGAAGTAGGGAAGGATGTGGTGGAGTAGGACATGTAGGGTAGCCCGAAGGCCAGATGGTTGCAGTCGCGAAGCGACTGTAACCACCTGGTAAATATTAAAACGGAATTGACCGAAAATCCGGATTTCGTTTCTTTTTGCCATAATCTTAATTTTGCATGATTTCAAACTCAAATTACAGGGGTGTCCCAATCAGAAAACACCCCCCTCTAGCTCGGCGCAGAAGTATCCGATCGGAATGATAGTTCCACCATTCAAAAGCCCCGTAAAACGTCGAGTTTGCGACAATCTTCAAAACCATGTTTTTATTTAAACACACCATTTTACAACGCATTTAAACACATTAAGCGCCTCCGCGTCTAACTACTTCCGGTCATTTGGTATCGAGAAATTGAGGCACAAAATGTTACAGAATAGCTTGTAAAATAGCGAGCTTAAATAAAAACATGGATTTACTCACTGCTGCAAACTCGCCATTTCAAAGGCTTTTGAATGCTGTAACTTTCATTCTGAACCGACTGTCCTGCGTCGAGTTAGCGGGGGGGTGTTTTTTTTATTGTCACACCCTGTATAACTCTTACAAGGAGTGCCTTTTGGGTGTCATCGGCAAAACCTTACGAGACCTAGCTCATTCGATAGAGAATTCGATTCTGAACAAAACCCCGTTGTTCTTTTTTGCAGAATGGCTATCCCTGATTTTATAAAATTAAAATACTAGTGACCGTCTCTTACCATGAGTGCCTTTCGCGCCAAAAGAGAGGCTTTTGGGTGCAGTTTTAAAATTTTATAAAATCAGGGATAGCCATTCTGCAAAAAAGAACAACGGGGTTCTGTTCAGAATCGAATCCTCTATCGAATGAGCTAGGTCTCGAAGGGATTTGCCGATGACACCCAAAAGGCACTCCTTGTTAGTATTTTTGCAACGCTCTATCGAAGGGCGTTGTCGAAAATGTCGGCTAGATACCGAAAATATTCCAATTTTGGGACAGAAAGCGTTTAGAGTTTTGGAGACTTTTTAGAGAGCCTCAGCGAAAAATCGATGAAATAAAGGCGCAGCAGAATTGTGATGTTTCACGAAAACCGGGTGACCATATCTGCTATCGCGCGTAATTAATTCCCCAGGAAGATATCACCACCACAATCGAGCCCGGTGGTTAACGTATTTATTTTATTTCCATTTTTATCACAAACGCGACACACACACATTTCATCGGTTGAACACAAATGGGATACTGTAAGAGGGGCGAGATACATAGAAAATATCCGAGCAGGAGGGGGTTAGATAATCAGTGTGATGAAAGCTGAAGGGTGAGGGGGCGAGTACGGTATTCACGGGGGTACGGTAGCCGCCACAGCATCCGGGCGTCGGCGTATTAATTGGAGGGCAGAGGGCGTTAGGAAGGTCTGAAACGGCCGTTTGAAAAAGAATGTTTTGTGAAAAGTCTCAAAAAAAATAATTAAAATTTTTTAGTTATTAGACCAGGGTTGAAAAGCCGCTTCGCGACTTTTCAACCCTGGCCCCGTCTTGTCTTGGACCCTGTCTTGGACCCCATACTATTCTGTCCTTTGCATAATTGTCCTCCATTCAGAAGACAAAAAAATGAAAAACGGCTCCTGCTGCCTCATTATATAGACGACTGCCCACTTCCGGTCTATGCTAATTATGCCTAACAAAGAGGTTTTTACAAAATCCTAAATTTAATAGCGAAAATGGCTAATTTTTAAAAATCTGATATGTGTGCAGTCATCCCTAGACCATTACGCACCTAATGACGTATCATACGTAGCCTAATACCCGTCCCTCCTTGAGATATCCTCCGGACAGACAGACGGAAGTGGATGCAAAGTGGCACACACACACAAACACACACACAGACACTATTTTTTTATATATAGTAGGATACAAAAAATTTTTACATCCTAGGTCAATTAAAATGAGAATTTTCACATTTCAAACCGAGCTGAGGCTTCGTTTCGAAGAAATATTCTGTAAACTATACTTCTCCGCCCACCCTGGGTGGGCCCCCCCTAGGGGGGACAGAGGGGGGACTGAAAGGGGGGATGGTGGGGGGGCCCCCAACAAAAACTTTGCGGTGCAACAGAAAATCTGCTGCGCCTACGGGACCTACGATCTGCCTGCGTTTTTGGAAACTTCTAGGCTAACTCTAACTTTCTAGCCCATCTATTTGGAAAAAAAACAGTAAAAAATGGGGAACATACCGCTTATCAAAATTGGTATGGCGAAGATTCGGCATGGTGAAAATTCGGTATACCAAAAATTCGGTATAGTGAAAATTCGGTATAGCGAAAATTCGGTATAGTGAAAATTCGGTATAGCGAATGGAACTCGTAGATGCCATACCTCCATGCCTCAGGGGGGTAGGGGGCACGGTCATTGGGGGTCCACCCGGGGGCCCCGGGGGCCCCCACCATCCCCCCTTTCAGTCCCCCCTCTGTCCCCCCTAGGGGGGGCCCACCCAGGGTGGGCGGAGAAGTATACTGTAAACCCTTAGTACCAAAGAATTAAATATGGCTAACAAGGGAAGGGCAAGTGCACGAAGTGGAAATTTGAAAAACGCTCGCGGCTACCCCTAGGTTATCGACTACGGCGATTCCGATGCAGTACTCAGAATTAGCCACCGAGGTCTGTAAAGCGAGATACCGCACTTCCGGAAAAAGCGTGATTTGCATGTGCGTAATTAGGAAGCCACTAGGGGTTTTTTAGGATCTTCCACGTATCTACCACCAGCTGTGAATTGGTCGAGTGCCAAGCCACTCGCTTTTTGAAATACCAACGGGGGTTCGGATCCACACTCATTTTTGTTTTTCTTTTTTGGAAGTCAATTCGAAAATGCGATAGCTGGTGCGGGGATTTCAGTGTTCTTCTTTTATAATTTTTGGGTTGGATCTAGAATTGAATTTTCTTTCAACTATGAGGAAAACGGGGGCAATAACCTGCAATAATAGGCTCCACAAAGCAAAAACAAAAAAATCAGAGCGGATCCGAACCCTCGTTGGTATTTCAAAAAGCGAGTGGCTTGGCACTCGACCAATTCACAGCTGATGGTAGATACGTGGAAGATCCTAATAAACCTCTAGTGGCTTCCTAATTACGCGCATGCAAATTATGCTTTTTCCGGAAGTGCGGTATCTCGCTTTACAGACCTCGGTGGCTAATTCTGAGTACTGCATCGGAATCGCCGTAGTCGATAACCTAGGGGTAGCCGCGAGCGTTTTTCAAATTTCCACTTTGTGCACTTGCCCTTCCCTTGTAAATTGTCCCAAAAAAGTTATCGAAATATGATTAAAAAATGTTTTATAACCCGGCAAGCATCCGAAAAATTAAGGGTGTTGAATCTAGCTGGCTCAATACACCACAATTTTCTTGGAAAGATCAAATGGAATTTTGTCTTTAAAACAATGTTTTGTTACATTTTAAAAACACGGAACTTTAAAACTAACGGATACGCACACTTTGCGCCGATTTAGTGACACCAAAAGAGAGAGAGAGAGAGAGAGAGAGAGAGAGAGAGAGAGAGAGAGAGGGAGAGAGAGAGAGGGAGAGAGAGAGCGTGAGAGGGAGAGGGAGAGAGCGAGAGAGAAATACTCACCCGGCCTAGTTGTACTTGTGCAGCTTGTAGTCGGGGCACTTTTTCGGGTCGGACGGGAAGGCGAACATCGTGCCGCGCCACTCGATGCGCTGCGGGGGCGGCGCTTCCGCGCGGGCAGTCGTACCGCAGCGCTCGACGGTCTGGAATAAGGTAAAGGAATGTGAGTTTAATATCTTGTATTAGTCGTTGCGCTTGTATTCAGTAAAATATGGAATTTGAAACACATCGTTTCAAAGCCCGAGGCACCCGCAGCTTTTTCGAAAAAAAAGTGTTGTATTCAAAACGCATTAAAGATCAGTCATTAGGCCCCACAATCATGTGATGAGCTGGATGATAAGGCTTATGGTTCTTTCGCATTACCGGGGGGATTATTTTTCTTAGGAGCCAATGTTTTAAATATAAGTCTTGGATGCGTTTCTAAACTGCTTTTTGCGTTGTTTCGTCGTTTTCGTTTCGTTTCGTCGTTTTTTGCGTATGCGTTAGACGTAAAAATTAATATATTTTAAAAAATTTCGATTGTTTTTATTTTACTGAAAACACTATGAAAATATTTCCTGTTACGTTACTAGGCATTTATAGATTAATACAAAAATATCATAACCGAAAAACTTAAGAAGTCCGAAACCCACGAAAATCCGTAGTTATACCACGCTCGTTTCTTTAATGTTTGTTTTTTTGCGAAATTTTATACCTTTAAATTTGTGCTACAGTAAACCCCACCAAAAAAAATTATGTTTTATTATCATTCCGATTTGAGCTACCGTACATCATCATAGGAGCTTCGACCCGGGAAAACGACGCAATCGTCGGCGGTGTGGATGTGGCGGACAATGACGGGCAACGGGTGCTCACGACGTCGGCGAGGAGGGCTGAACGGTTACAATATTAGAATGCTAAAGAATAAGAATACTAAAAGAATAGTTTAGAGACGCCAGAGAAATACTAAACTAACGTCAATAAAATAAATAAATAAAGAATGTTTTAGAATAGAAAATAAACCGGTGCGTGCACCGAAATTTAGTTCAGCCAATCGTTAAACACCCGAAAATTACCAATTTTAATTAATTTAAAAAAAACAGTTAATGAAGTCGAAAGTTCTCGTAGATTCGGTTCGGTGACAAACCTTCCAGCGATGCCGTCCATCGGGTTGTCGATCGGAATCGGCTTGGATTGGACCCAAAGCCACGGCCAGATGAAGGACACTGCAACGTTTCAGATGAAAGGGCATGCTAGCAGAGATTTTGAAGGAATTGCGTGAAAAATATAATTAAACTAACAGATGTATGCGATGCCCCGATAGAGCCAGCAGGCGATCATCCACAACCCCTCCAGCACATCCGACGGCGACGGCAGCTGCGCGTACAACAACTAAAAACCGTGGAAACTGGGTATTTTAATTGAGTGTGTCCAAAAATCGTAAGATCAGAAGAAATTTCAAAACACGTATTGGTTAAAACATATCCATTTAGCGCACCAAAAACAACACATCCAATCGCCCTTGCGTTTCAAAAATAACGAGGTTGTAGAAAATCATGTGTTAAGATTAGCTAGCCTTAATTAGTTGTTAAGATGAGAAAAAGCAGCGACTTTTCCGAAACTTCAAACTTGATAAATTTTTACAAAAAAATCGATCCCCCGATACAGCAGAATTTCCAAAGAAAGGCGAGTCTACAATAAAATGTTTCGTCAATTTTGTAGCATTAATCATTGTGCATTTAGGCCAATTCTTCTGTTGTCTCTTTTTTTGAAAAGGTCGAAATTTTGTTCAAAAAGGCGGTTTTGGTTGCAAATCGATTTTCTTTTGAATTTTTTCATAAATATTTATGTCGTTTTACTTTTAGAAGTAGTAAAAAAGTTTAGAAACACTTATACTATTATTTTTTTAAATTAGATTAAGAAAATTTATTGTCCCCCTTTAATGCAAAAGAACCAACATTACAGTTTTAGGTTTAGCTTGTAGTTTTTGTAGTCTATATCCCCACACCTTGAAGAAGGAGATGATGGTGAGGAACAGGGAGCGGATGGCGGTGCCGATGGTCGAAACGACGGCTCGAACACGGTCATGCATCGGGATGGCCCGTTCGGAGGAGCGTTGCGTCGTCGCGCCCGGCATCTCTGGCCGAGCCGTGCGGACGGAATTTGACTAAGACGGAATACGAAAGTGGGTAGTGATGGGTTACTGTAGCGAGTACGTTATGAAATTAAAAAATTAAAAAATAAAGACAACTGACCTTGGACTGGTCGCTGCGACGCCGGGTGTCCCGGTGCTTCGTGCGGTGCTTCGACTCCTTACGGGCCCTGGAAACTCGGCCTCTTAATTAGTTAGGTGTGCCTTATTACAATCTATTAAAGCTGAATTAAAAAGTGTCGACAAAGGCAAATAAAAATTCGCTTTGCCAAATTTTATTCGGAAAAAGAATGTTCCAAAAACTTGCAAAGCCGCTTAAATTTGGAACTTGGGACTGTTCCAATGCATGCTTCTCGAATTTGATAAAAAGCTTCCGTTGTGCTCGCTTAATTTTAGCCATGACTTTAATCTTAAAGCCTTAGAAACGTGTTTGAATAAATCATTAAAATCGGTAAATGGGCCAAACAAGATTCGTCCGGTTCATTTTCACAAAAAAAAATCTTGATACTGAAAAATGTTTCGCAGCGACCCCTAGTCACCACTTGTTGGGGCTTTGACAATTTAGGCGGCGTTGTCATTAGTTATATATCATTTTTAGACCCTAAAACAAATCATTAAAACCTTCGAAAAAGTTAGCTTCCTAGCTCCAGTAATCCTGTACGGTCCCATTACGTAATGTTGACCATTTTTAGCATTATACACAGTTTTTAGATATTTCGAAAATTTTTTAGTTTTTTTTGCCAAAAATATATGAAAAATGAGCCGAAAAGGGCAAAATTTATGGATTTTCAAAAATGTGTAAAGTATCTTGGTAACTTCCTTGGCATCAAAAACGATAAAAACTATACTTCGCCAACCACCCCGGGTGGTACCACCCCCAGGGGTGGTTGGAGGGTGGGGCGGGGGGTGGTTGGGGGTGGTCGTGGGGGGTGGCTGGGGGGTGGTCAAAGGGGTGGCTGGGGGGTGGTCGGGGGGTGGTCAATGCATTAGCCACCCCACCCAACCCTTACAAGTTTTTTGTCATGATCTGGCAATAAAACTTTTCGGGCTTCCGTTCCACTTTGTCCTTGAGGGACCATATCCGAACTCGACACAACTTTTATGGCCAGATCATGAAAAAATTTTGTAAGGGGTGGGTGGGGTGGCTAATGCATTGACCACCCCCACACCCCACAAACCACCCCCCAGCCACCCCTTTGACCACCCCCCAACCACCCCCACGACCACCCCCAACCACCCCGCCCCACCCTCCAACCACCCCTGGGGTGGTACCACCCGGGGTGGTTGGCGAAGTATAATAAAAACGTTTCAGAAGACACTATTTATTAACGACAGGTACGTACGTGGTGTAGGCGTAAAACATAAAAATTAGTATCCCCCTGCTCAACCCCCGCTATCAGTCCAGTACCTCTTTGCCTAGGTTTTCGCAATTGGCATATGGATTTTGCGCCCAGAGGCTGCCCTAGCCTCTTTTTATCCATAGTGCGCCCACAGCCAGAAAATCCATATCTTTACCATGCCGATCCCTTTAAAGCCCTTCTCCTCCTTGCTACCGTACCTCTTCTCAGCAGAAGTCTTCTTGTCCTTATTGCGAGCCTTCCTCCTCTTCGTCTCCCTCAATTCGGGTTCATCTCCTCCATCCGTACTCTCCGTCGTCCCTCCCTCCTTCTCTTTGTGTCCTCTCTTCTTCTCGCGCTCTCTCTTCGCCACTTTCACCCCATCTCTGCCCTCCTTCTCTCTGCTCCCTCGCTTCTCCTCCTCCTTTGGGCTCGCCGATCCGTGAGCATCAGGTGTCGTCGCTTCCGGGATCGCCGTCACCGTGTCGGCATTTTCTGAACAATCAAGGTTTTTCGACAGGCGAAAATATATTTTTCTTCAGAAAATAGGATGTTGTAAGAAATTTTTTTCGATATTTTTTATAGTTTATTTTAAGCTTTTAAAGAAATTAAAGTAAGTTTTTTACACTGCATTCGAGTATTTATAAACATAAAACCTCGCAAAATCTGAGGCAATACACGTAAAAACCACCGGTTTTTCGACCGAAGTGTCCAATTTTAAGCCAAAAATGAAATTGAAAAGTCTTTTAAATGTTTTTGTCATTTTTTATTTGAATTTTCTCTAAATTTTACTGAATATTATTTGAAGTTGCCAAAAATCAGCAAATTTTAACTTTTAGTAACAACAGAAAGTTTTTCGAAAAAGTAATGTTTCGAAAAATCTCCTAGTTTCGGAAAAAGGTTTTACGCCGATAAAATCGTTTTCACTGCATTCTACCTCTGCCCTTCCAGATCTCGGGCACGATGTCCTTGTGGATGAACACCTCCTGGTAGATGCGGCGGCGAATCTGATGTCATTTCAAGTACGAACCGGTTAAATTATTTTTATTTATATCTATTTAATTTAAAGGCCCTAGAATTTCGACTTGAAAGGGACAGCGGCAGCTAAAAACGAACAAGGCGATCGCCTGAAGATTCTCTGCACACAACTCGCTAGCGCTTCCTAATAAGGTTTAGTATAACCCCTTCCCCCAATTTTATCCTTGAAACATTAAAATTCGCCCAGTTAGGTATGAATAGGAATAAGAAAAAGTACAATTTTTGACTTTCAAAATGATTAAAAGGTTTTTAGCACTTCCTACCATTAAAAAAACCTACATAAACGTTGTAAAAATACATTAATTATTAGTTACAGCTTTATAGACAACTTTGAAAAAGGTTTGAAAAACATTTCAGCCCTATTTCACATCATAAGGTACCGTACCCGCTCCATTTGGGATGGATCATCGCGTGTCTGCTTGGGCAAATCATTCTTGATCGCATCCATGATCACAGTCACCGCCGACAGGGCGATACCTTTTTGCTGGAACAAAATATATGTTTCGTCAATTACTTAATTCACGGGATTTTAAAAAACGATACTAAGTTCAGCCGACATAATCCAAGCGATGTTCCAGCGTCAGCCTTTTGGGAATTTTTAGCATTTCGTAGTTTTGATCTGTGCGAAAATCAATGTTTCAGCTCTGCTTGTAAAGCATGGCAAAACAATTTATCATAGTATGTTGGAGTTGTACTTCCGAAAAAAACAATGTTTCAAACCAAGTTAGGTAAAGATCGCACATAATTTAAGCACTGGCTCATGACAATAACGAAAACTTTTGGACTATTTTTAAATAGGATTCTTAATCTTGATTTTTAATTAGCAAAATACAGCCGGTACAGCCGGTACAGCCGGATAGAAACAGTGGGTGTTTCTCTGCGTAGCTGCCCACCTACCATCTATTTCGAAACGGCCGTACCGTGTGTACTTTGCGCACTTTACTAGTTGCCAAAAGAGTTCTTCAACCTAATTTGTGAAAAAACTGCAATCGATTTCGAGGCATGCATTGGGGCTATCGAAATTTTTTGGGTCATGGAAAAATAATGTTTCAGCGAAGCTTGGGCCGAGCGGTCCATTTAATATCGGCAATATCTTGCGATGTAGAACGTTACCTGTGCCGTGTAGGGGTGGCCATTTTTGATGATTTCCTGGACGCTGCGGTGTTCTTCGGGGGAGAGGGATGCCTCCAGCGCCTGGACCACCTGGAAAAACGGCTAGTGAAAAGCCCTTGTCACCGCCCCTTTAAACTCAACCGCAAAATTCCCTCGTTTATGCTATGGTGTCAGCTAAAAATTACGGAAACGTTTGAAAATAAAGTGTTTCAACAAAATCCTTTATCTCGAATTTAAGGAAAAAGGTACTTCACTTTTTGAGCCAAAAAAAATATCCGGAAACATCGGATCCGAATTTCCGAGAAAATCTAAACATTTTATCTGTTCTATTCCTAACTTTTACATTTATAATGACGCGGTTTTTAGTTGAATGTTGTAAATGGACAATAAATGAACGATTTTTGAGAGCCCGTGAAGGAGATTTTAAAGGCACATCCTCAGTTACTTCTGCCGATTTGCTTAAAAAAGGATGTTTCAGCAAAAAAAGATCACGTCCCATCCGGAGACGGAGCAATGCTCCTCCTTCGCCTAACAAAACAGCAAAAAAGTAGGACAAAATGGCTAAATTTCACTTTACGGTAACTAAATAAAATCTCGATTTTTCGATTGGAATCGATAGATCTCGTCGAGTTCTACCATTTTCAGTTGAAAAAACTATTGGGACTCGTTTCTAAAAAAAGTTATAAACATTTTAAATTGGCTAGTTCACTTTACGGTAACTAAATAAAATCTCGATTTTTTGACTGAAATCGATAGATCTCATCGAGTTCTCGCGTTTCCCGTTGAAAAAACGATTGGGACTCGCTTTTAACAAAAGTTATAGCTCTTTTAAACCAATTCACCCCGCATCGAAAAAGTCGGTTCCGACTACGAGGGGCTCCTTTGTACGGAAAAAACGTAATAGTTGTGAACGTACTGGGGTACCAAATACGGGGCCGCTGCAAAAGGCGCAGGAAAAACTTTATTAGCACACATTTTGCACTTCCTCCGAATTTCTGAATTTCTGAAACATAAAAAAGACGGTTTTGCAACGGAAGTCACTCAATTTGGAGGGAAGTGATCGCTACTTCCTCCGCTCTGCGACTAGAAAAAGGCTTCGTGCCACCGGGGGCCTAGTCGCTTCGGATGGGTGCGAGCTCGTACAGGGTTTCGAAATGGGGGCGCCAAGGCCGGCGAAGCGGCCGGGGGCGCCCCCATTTCGAAAGAGTGGAGCGGCAGCCCATCCGAAGCGACGGCCCGCCTTGCCTGACAATGTCACAGCCAAATGTCAAAAATATAGTGTAGCCTCCTCCGAACAACTTTCCCAAAGGTTTTTTCAATTGTAAATGCAAGAACTCGATGAGATCTATTTATCCCAGGCGAAAAATCGCATTTTGACGAGGTTACCGTAAAGTGAACCAACCACTTTAAACCGTTTGTAACTTTCGTTAAAAGCGAGTCCCAATCGTTTTTTCAACGGGAAACGCGAGAACTCGATGAGATCTATCGATTCCAGTCGAAAAATCGAGATTTTATTTAGTTACCGTAAAGTGAACTAGCCAATTTAAAATGTTTATAACTTTTTTTAGAAGCGAGTCCCAATAGTTTTTTCAACTGGAAATGGTAGAACTCGACGAGATCTATCGATTCCAATCGAAAAATCGACATTTTATTTAGTTACCGTAAAGTGAAATTTTCCCGACAAAATATTCAAACGTTAAATGGCTTTTATTATCTTTTTTTTGCTCTAGCTTCTTTTTTACATAAATACAATATACCTTTGATTAAAAAGTTAAAAAAATTTGGGAAGTCAAGCCAAAATCTTAAAGACTTAATGCCAAAGATGTTTTTCTACCTCCTGCGAGCTGAGGAACGGCTCCCATTTCTTGCGGCGGTTCAGGCGACGCTAAAAATCAATATATCGTTTAAAATTCGGTCTTTAAAATTACCGTATCCTCCTTGAGCGACACCTCCGTGTCCGTATGCGGCCCCGTGCTAAAAAAAAAAATGCAAATAACTTTCACGGTGGCAAAATTACGTCTTGTGGCGCTTCTTTTCCTTGTCGCGCGGGAGTTTCTGAAAACGTTGAAATGGACTTTAAAGTTGTGTGAAACAAAATTTTACAAAAAATTGGTAAAGTGACGGCAATGCACGTAAATTTTCCGTGGAACCCAATCAAAACTCCCTCCAAAAAATATGTTTCCACGATCCGTGTAAATACGCGATGAATCGAGCCACCTAATTTTGTTGTTTTGAATTTTGTTTTGTGAACCATAAGCATAATGAGATGCAAATAGAAAAAACAATCTAAAAATATTAAATACGCTAGAATAATAAACTTTAGATTATTAATAGCAACGTACAGGCGGAAAAGTAAAAATTAGCTTCCCCGGTAAGCGAAAAGCACCTTTTCGACCTTCTTCTCGTCGGAGGCGTTGATGGGGGCGTCGTTGAGGATGGATTGGGTGGAGGCGGTGTTTGTCGTCGCCATCGCGCTCTTCACGTTCTTCATCGCCGACCTGTAGACGTTCCGAGACTTATAAATTAGGTTTCAACTACTACTTATTACAATTCACAAAACAATTTCTTCCCAGTTGTTCAAAAAGATTTTCCCCAAAAATTTCGCGTGTTTCAGCCAATCGTTAGGAAAAAGGTCATAAAGAATGATTAATTGATAAGCGCTCATTCCTGATCCTAAATTCCCGTTTTCACAGTAAGGAGCAAAAAGTGGCGTTTTTCTTTTTCATTAATTTAAACTGGAATAGTGAAGTACCCGTTGGCGGTGGGGGCGAGCGTTTCGGCGGACGGAGGCGTTGGCTGCAGGCGCAGCTCCTGAAAATCATGAAAATGAATATTAAAGTTTTTTCACAATTCAAAAAAACATATAACGTGGTCCTTATATCATGTATCATTTTCGAAAACATGTTTCAAGCTCGTGTAAAATATATATTTTAGAAATGTTTTTCCGTTGATAGGACTTTGGACTTTTTGTTCTGAATGTAATGAAAAATGAAAAATGGAGAATTTCGGAACTTTTAAAAATCTGTGTATTAAAAAGTGGCAAGGAGGTTCTAAAAACAATTAAGCGGAAAATAGGAAATAAAAATTAGCGTCCCGCGTCATTCCCCCCCGTTAAAAGTCCAGTACCGTGATAAATACTGGGAGATCGACCACAGACAAAACGCGAGATTTTTTTTGGAAAAAAGATGTGTCAGAAAAATTTTAGACCCAGAACGGGATGCGTGCGGTATTCCTCCTCCAAGAAGATGCGATTCACCTTGGCTTACCTTCTCCTTTTTCCCGTTCCCTTCCACGGTGAGGCGCGGGGTCTTCGCTTCCGGCAGCTGCTGCATCAGGCTAAAAAGAGTGTCATTTTTAATGTTTAAAATGAACTGACTACAGCTCATTAACTTTTAAAGCCAATAAAAATCTAAAAACTATACATATAAATCATACCTGCGCTTGGCATTCTTGGCGTCCTTGTCTTCCTTGGAGGTCGACCTTAAAAACCAAGTTGGTGATTTTTCGTGTGCATTTTCCTAAAAATGAAAGGGGACTATAGAATGGGATGTATGACTCATCGACGTATTAGGTTCTTCAGAAAGATCCCAACCTGCCAATTTTTTGAAACCCGTTTTCTCGCAACTTTTCGGAATCTGAACAGTTTCACAGGCTAACCCAAGATTTCGCTCTCAAACCTTTTGATCTGATTTATTATATTTACATTATGATCAAATTTTTTATTATTCTTGTAGTTTTAGTCTAAAATTTTTAATAAAAAAAAACACTTTTTCTTGAGCTTCTCGTCGCGATTGAGGGCGGAGCCAGGCGGGTGCGCCGGGAGTCTGGAAACGAGACTTCGAGCAGCGGAATTAAAATACCAATATTTTGGGGTTTAGACAGTTAAAAAAAATCAACAAACTTGAGTGGTAAATCTTGAATTTTGGGATGAAAAAGAATAAAAATGACGTTTTTGAAAAACGCACTGTGAAACGAGGCGAACGCCGGCCGGCTGGTTGAGCAATTTTCTGAAAAAGTATGTTTCGTAAACGGCAAAATCGAAAAATCTATCATCATCAGATCTTCTACGAGAAGCCTTATCCTGGACACGAAAATACACTGGCTTAATTTAAATATTGCAATCATTATTAATATTTCTCAATAGCACTTACGCGCCCTGCCGATCGGATTCACTGAACTGGTCGTCGATGCCCGGATCGACCTTCGGGCTGGAAAACGGCTATAGTCAGCTCGTTTTCTCTTTCGCTAGTTCTCTCTCTCTCTCTCTCTCTCTCTCTCTCTCTCTCTCTCTCTCTCTCTCTCTCTCCTTTAAAAACCTCCCACATCTTTCTGGTGACTCCTCCCCTCCTGGCCGGCGGTGTGTGGCCGACATCGCGGACGCGCTGCAGCGCGCTCACCGGGCGCTTCACGCTAAAATTCGATTTTGAGAGAGAGATAGAGAGATATAGATAGCGAGAGAGAGAGAGAGAGAGCAAATTTTGAAACCTACCCTCCCGATCCGGAAGTGGCAGGCTTGGTCCCAGAATTTCCCGAGTTGCCCGAGGCTGCGGATACTGTAAAAACATGATTTTATAGGTTTTACAACGTAATAATTTCTCAACCATTTCGACGCTCATTAAAACGTTATAAAACCTGCCATTTGAGGGCTTCCCTGAGTCCTTGCCGCTGCCCTTTTCTGAAACGAGAAAACAATGTTTCATCAACTTGCATGCAATCCTGAATTTCGTTTCAAGTATTACACAGATGACCTTTAATACATAACCCACCCTTCACATCGCTGCCCGGCTTCTTTTTCTTTTTCTAAACCAAGGTATTACATAAAATGTTTTTAATTTAAAAACAAAATAAAGCAAATTAAACTCGTTTTTGAAATTAAAGCCACGCAAAGGAATACCTTATCAAAAAGGCCCATCGGGTGGGTGGGGGAGGACGAGTAAAATGCGAGTATCGAGAGTACTTTTAAGAAATTTGAAAAATGCTGCTATGCATCTTGCAAATACCATATGCAAATCCCGAGAGAGAGAGAGAGAGAGAGAGAGAGAGAGAGAGAGAGAGAGAGGGCGAGAGAGCGAGAGAGAGAGAGAGAGAGAGAGAGAGAGAGAGAAAGATTGTTTTCGTCACTATTCCGTACTTCTTCATAAATCCTTGTAGTTTGCATCATAAATAACCCTGTTATGATTTATCTTTATGCGTAGCTTCAGCGCAACCAATAACGACAACGAATTACGGTGCAATTCAGACTTTGATCAAACACATTTTACGAGCTATTGTCAAGCTTCAATTTTAGTCAAAACCACACGATTATTTGCATTCCCGTTTAAACAAATTGCATGCAATAGGTATTGATGCGGAAAGTTGGGAAATCAACTGAAAAATATCATGTTTCAAGATAAAGCCAATGTACAGCGCACCGGAGCACAAGATTCGCAGTGACCCTGGGGACCCGATTTATTGAATTTTTTTGAAGTGTAGGCTGAAAATACATAAAAAAGGAAGAGAAAAAAGGTCAGGTAATGGTGCAATTTTCGGAATTCCTGTCGACAATCTGCAGCTGATCCCCATCGGATACTTTGTAGTCGGCAAGTGTGCAGAATTTCTCGAGCTTTTTGCCTGGAATTGGAAACTGATTTCGGCTTTTTTTGTTATTATTATAAGCGGGCAGGCTAGCAGAAGCAATTTAGGAATTACGGCTAAACGAAAATATATAGGCTGAAATTTGAAGTTTCGTATTTATGTTCAAAAGAACTTGACGGGACCAATTATCGAATTATTCTTTCTTGTACACCATAATTGTGTGAAACTCAAAAAATGTATGGTTTTGTAGAAGTCTAGAAATGCCTAGTGAATAGTGTAGTGTAACAGTAAATATTTTTATAGTTTTTCAGTATAATTCTTTTAGTTGACAACTTCGAAAATACATTTAGCACCCGAAAGTTTGAAAAAAATGATTTTTCAACTTTCTAGTAAAAATTGCCAAGTTTTTAGGTTTAGGAAAGCAAAAATTGGCTCACAAAATTTATATGCAGTTTGTATACTATATATACCATATTTTTAAGATTTAATACTGAGTAGAAAAATCGAAACAAAGAAATACGTTGGTTGTAAAACAAAAATGTTTCGACGAACTCGGATGTGGTGCGATATTCAGAAACAACAATTGAGCGTTTGCCTTTTGTAATCCAAACTACTACTTTTTTGGAGTTTCTATCAACAAGAACCGTAAACTACCGTAACCCATAGAAATTAAAACACTAATATTTTGTAATTTCCTGGGGAAAATACAGCAATTCTATGAGACGCACCTTTATAAAAAAGTTCCGACGTATGGGCGCGTAGTTTGGCCGTTTGGTGGAGGATGTACCATACCTGAAAAAGAACAATTGGACTACTTCAGTGACAAAATTAAATCAGCCAAAGAGTTTTTATTTTTTAAGGATGCTTGAAACATATTTACTGTAGACCAACCGTATCCGTTTCGCTGACTTCCATCTTTTTCCGTTTTCCGGAGCAGCCACGAATTTTGATGATCATTTTTGTAGTTTTTTAGGTGTCTGAAAATACAGGGAATTTTCTCTTCAAAATTCGAGAGATTGGGTTTCAAAAAAGCGGGTTGTTGAGGAGCTTTATAGAAGCTTAGTGCAGTGTAATTGCGACGGTGGGTTAAATCCGATAATTTCTCAAATTTATGATTTTTGTAAAAACCATGTACTTTGAAATTGCCAGGAACCTTTGTATCGAATACTGAAAAAATAGTCGTTACGTAAATTATTTAAAACTAGAAAAATGCCGCAATAAAAAGGCCCAAAACGCCTCCAACGGCTGCCAAAGGGTCTAAAATTCGATTTTTTTTTAGGCGAAAACCCGGCCGTTTGAATTATTTTTGATGAGATACAACGAAAAATCGACGATGAAAGTCGGATAGATAATTATCGAAACTGGAGGAAACTCAGTAAACCAAAAAATTAAAGAATTCCGCGTTAGCAAAAATGGGTTTCTGCTAATTGAGCGGTCCTCAAGGCCTTTATCATATTAGAGTAACACATAAAAAATGGAAGCAACGAGTTTCAAAAAAGGCTTTTCCATCCAAAACGACAGTATGGCGCTTACATGGGAAGGTTGTTTGGGTCAGGTGTCAAATTGACTTGAAACTTTGCCAGTGGATAGAAAATCAAAAATAAAGTGGAGTTTCTTAATCTCATTTTTTTGCACAATACCCCAAATTAAAAAGTTATAGGTCTTTGAAGTTACATAAAAAAGCACGAAACGACCCGATAATTCTGATCTGGTCCTCATTGTGGCCTGCCCCCTTTTCAGGCGCTTGCGTCGCCCGGGCTGACAAGCTGTTGGCGCAGTAGGTAGTGCCGTAGAGTGCAAAACTTTTTAAATTTTTGTAATCGAGTTCAAGTTTTTGATGCGTCCAACTTTTTGCTTTTTGGATTTTACGCCAACTAACCCCAATTTGCAAGAGCAAAAAGCAAAAAGCAAAAAGATAGAAACATTTTAGTCTCGAACTTTTGCCAAAAATTTTTCATAAGATTGTGAGTCAGGCGCACTACCGATTGCGCTACAAGAGACGTGGGCAGTGGAGACGAGGGAGGGTCAAGCAATCACGCATGAAGAAAATGTGGAAACGGTGCGGTATTGGTGCAAAAGCCTGCGAAAAACTCAATTTTTAGACCACAAACTTAAAATGCTTATAACTTTTTAATTAGGGGTATTGTGCAGAAAACGGCTTAGTGCACCTTGTTCCGTTTTCGATTTTCTATCAACTGGCAAATTTTCAGAAAGATTTGACACCTGACCCAAACAACCTTCCCTTGTTAGCAAAAAATGGGTTTCAGGAAAAGGAAACAGGAAATATATTTTATAAAAAAAGAAGGTGAAGAGGCGCTAAAAGTACTCGACCATTAGCGGGGGAAGAAATTTTATCGGGGGAAAACCAATTCAGTTTTTCCGCCCATACTTGTTGATAATCCTAAATGTATTTTATAATTTTTGTAGTAGTAGTTTTGCTAGAAAGCCATCAAAATGCCTTCATAAATTTTCCAAATCCGAGAATTTATGCTTTTTTTGGTTGTTTTTCATATACTTTGAGCAAGAGTCCAAGTTTTCGAAAATTTCTTGATTTTTCATAAGCTTTTTCTTTCCAAATCCTCTGTAAACCACTACCAAAATGGTTGAAGAGTTCGTCAAGGGCCGCGCGGTATTTCTGTGAGAAATTAGGTTCCTCACTCACCCTACCCCCCTGATAACACTCCAGTACCGCTTTAACTAAATGCTAGTAATCTTCAAAAAAATCAAGGAAAAAGGTGCCCGGTTTGGCCGTTAGCAA